GAACTGGCCTTCTGACATTCCAAAATGACCTTGTCTGAATGAATGAAGCTGAAGCTGGGGACAAAAAAAGGAACAAAGGAAAAGAAAAGAAAGAAGCTAAAACTGAGATATTGATGAAAAGTCAGAAAAGATGCAAAGTGGAAAAAAAGTCCCCAAAAGTTGCCGACGAAAGCACAATTTTTTGTCCCACAAAGTTTGTCACCCACACCACAGAATCATATCATCCATCTGGATGAAAAAGAAACGTACAAAAGCAACAAGACGACCCCACACAGAACCACACAGGAAAAAAAAAAAAAAAAAAAAAAAAGGAGGACCACAGAGAACAAAGTGAGAAAAGATTTCTATGATCCTACGGAGAAGCTTTCCGACATTCCTGGACTTTGCCTGACTGCTGAGTTCGGCACAGAACCTTCAGGAAACCGGGAGGCGCAGCCGAGGGGTGCTCGAGAAAGGTTTGTCCACCCAGCCGAGGGGTATATTGGTGGCTTTAACCGGGGGGTAAGCCAACTGGCTAATACCAGTCCAATGATCCAATCCTAGCTTTTCAATGTGCGACTGTGTGTGACACTGTGTGAGTGCTGTAAACTGTCACCACAACAGAACGGTTACCCCTTTTTTCCACCCAGATGAGTAGATCGAGAATTGAAACAGCTTTACCTCCACAGCAGACAATGAAGCACACTAAGATGAGCAAAGCCAACACTGAAAGAGTTTTACCTCTATAACAAACAACATGGAAATGATGGAAGTTCATGGAAACACAATATGTCCGTTATATCGTCTTTTCCGTTGTACACTGTACAACCCCTTTGATTTCTTCTTGCAGGTCGCCTTTCACTGTGCCTCTAGCATACAAGGCTTGCCACTTTGATTGTGGTTGAGCACAAACTGCCCACATCCTCGTGTGCCATAATGGCCCACTTGCATGCCCAAAGTCGACCTTGCAGGTCCCCTTTCAGTATGCAGGAGGGGGGAGATATACTCCTGTTCATATTCCAGCAGATCTTCAGCTTATATTTTTCCGTTCTCTTAATGATGCTCATTCGTATGCATCTAGTAGTACCACACAAGGGAAGGGAGGAAGGAAAGAAGGTGGGGTGGGGGGAGGGTGGAGTTCAAATCAGAGGAAAGACAAATTTCACACGGATCTCAGTACTCACCGCCGGCGGCGCCAGCGGGGACAGAGCAAAATACTATAGAATGCCACGAGAGGCCAGTCAACGTTTGGGTTGCGGAGGAAATTTGAGCTGAGGACCAGGTGTTGGCTATGGTGAGTGGCTACCGCGACAGACCAGACAGGACTGTTTTTTCGGGTGCCGACTGTGGCATTGGATGGAACAGTGAAGACAGATGTCACAGGCTACATGGCTCCTACATGCTAGGACCGCACAGACATGCCGACCGCAATTGTATAGGCATTGACGCTCCAGCCCCTGCCTACAGGCCCTACACATACGACATTCCATGTTGGGGTGCCGTACATGAGTACAATGTTGACTGTCATCGTACGGTATGAAAACAAAGATTTGCATGATCATGATCTATATATATATATATATATATATGTGTGTGGTTGTACATGTGTTTGCATCCTGCCTCTTTTGGAACCCTCTCTTCCTCATTGCATTGTGGGGGTTTGCTGTTTCAATTTCGACTACTCACCAAGTATCGCATTCAATGCCTCAATGTACTTGGAAAGATCGCTGATTTCAGACCTCTTCTCGTTTCCAGGTGTGTCTGAAGAGCTACAGTCCTTGAAATGGAACCTGGAATGAAAGCTCCATGCCGGAACAGCTTCCTCTTCTGCGGTGAGAGAGCCGAGGCGGCAATCCAAGACCCCAATCTTTGTCTGCAGGTCATTCTTCACATCCTCTAACTTTCCGCTCTCCGACTGCAGTTTCTCCAACACGGACCTTGCTCTTTCCACAAGTGCTTGTGTTTGTGTTTTTGGTTGCCTTCCATTGAGTAATAATCTTCCGTAACCCGAGAGTGAATCAGGGCTACCACAGACATTGAAGTTGCGATTCTGAGACTTGGCATCGCCCGGGAGGATAGGGGTTAATATACTATGATTTGGAGTACGATTGCCCACTCCGCCGCCCCCAGTAACAGCGCCGGCATTTGTACTGTGTGTAGGAGGGTCTGTTGGTGCAGAAAGAGCATCCAGCTCTTTTCTTGCCAAGTGCAGACGCTGCAGGTTTTTGCGCAAGCTCGCATCGATACAGGAGACCGCTCTGGATGCATTTTCTCTTGCTTCCATCGCTGTCTTCAGCGACGTAAACACCCTGCCTCTTTCATTCTCGCTAGACTCTAGGTCTCTCTCCGCTTGAGCTATTGCCGCGCTGACAGCAAGTATTAGACCTGAAAGAGAGTTATGGCTGTCGCAAACTCCGGGACCAGATCCTTGCATCTTAAAGGAAGAGGACTCTTTCTTTGAGGCGATGTCAAGTCCATCGACAACTCTCTGCTGCTCTTCAAGCCGATGCTTCAACATCTGCAGATTCACCGATGCCTGTTCCACTGAGAACTGTAGCCCTTCCATTTTCTTGAGGCATTCTGCCTGTCTCGCGATTTGATTTTTGAAGGATTGTTCCTCTTCCTCAAGTTTGGCAATCTGCTGAAGAAGCCGAGACTTCTCATCAGCCATAGCCCTCGAGCTCTGAGGACAACGGCACTCTTCTTGCATCTTCTTCAAGGCTGTCTTGCAATCCTAACCAGGTTTCAGAAACACACCAATGTGCAAAGTTTTGATCAACGTCAGACATGAACCCGCATCGTGCGATGATCCTGGTCAGCTTCCAATGCAAAATTCACAAAGAGACAATGTCATTCAATTGCAGAAGAAGAAGAAGAAGAAGAAGAAGAAGAAGAAGAAGAAGAAGAAGACGAAGACGAAGAAGAAGACGAAGACGAAGACGAAGAAGAAGAAGAAGAAGAAGAAGAAGAAGAAGAAGAAGAAGAAGAAGAAGAAGAAGAAGACGGCGAAGAAGAAGAAGACGACGAAGAAGACGA